ATAAACTTTTAAGCAAATATATGAAAACTATTATAATACGATTTTATAAATGATACCTTGTAAGTCGATTTTTTGAAACTACTGTATACTGTACTCAGTACACATAAATATAAGAGATGTCTTCACGAGACGTTCAAGTAAACAAATGTCTGCGATTTTATTAAATTGCATTAATCCGCTAACGTTATATACAACAACTGTAATAACAACAACTACGAAACAGACGAAGCGTAATTCACTAAAAACCGATTTTCCGTGAGAAATACGCATACAGTTATAAATATAGATACGATTTGTGTTTGTTTCGGTAGTGTTCCACATTGCATTTAAAACGTGATTCATAAACGCTGATTTTTACCCTCAGGTGTCTGCTGATTTTCGAAAGATATTACATACATGTGTAGGTACGTTTATTTGCATACGTATACGGATGCCTACATTACAGAGGATCCATGCTGTATTTTGATTACACTGGAAGACTTTTTTTTAAGCACTCGCCATCGAAAGATGTATGTATGTTGTACTAGATTCATCCTTGTGTTTGCCTGAATCAAGAATGTATATCAAATACCATTTAAGACGGACATGTTTTTGAGGAGTTTTACATACTGACTCGATTACGCTATGTCTATGGTATATCCATCCGGCTGTTTGTCGGCTGTTCTTTGTTAAAACTTTCATGTTAAGCAGAATTGAAGCACCTGTAATTTTGGTATATACCTGACCGCTTTTTTACTTAATTTTAAAATAGCACGGTTCATCAATGAGAGCAAATACTCCTTTTTTACACGAAATTTTTCTTCTAACGCAAATCCAAAAAAAAAAAATGCGAATAGTGTTTTAATTCTAATTTTGACAGTGTCTCATAGAAGGTTATGCATGCAATAACAAATAATGCAATTGAAGGAATACGGTGATCACACAAGCGTAAGTCAGATTTGGGAAATTGATTTTTAGTCCTAATTTCAATTTTTATATTTTGCACTTATGGACTGCATTTTTACTGTACACTAAATTTTGTTCATTTTTCTTTTATAAAATATAATGTGGATTTCATTATTACTTTCTCTGCGCGGTTTTCTGGGAAAATATTTGGAGTTTTTTATTTTGCAAGACTTCTTAAAGCTATGGAATATACCCTCAAATTTACCACTTGCATATATTTTTTACACGTTTTTTTACACGGATTTCGAAGAAACGCATCTCCCGTGTAAAAAAAGAGTTGGGTTATGTCACGGAAACACATCAAATGTAGAAATTTGATTCACTTATTCATATGTTGCCAAAGAGTAAAATACCTTAAATCGCAAGCATGGCAAACATTAGTCTAAACCTTCAGAAATCTTCTCACAAATATACAGAATGATCATCCAGTGTTAAAATGGGCATGATCTGCTCACAAATAGGCTCACAATGAGAAGAAAGAGTAATGCTGATGTAAAACCTTTTGTAAATATTGAACAGAGTCAATAATGAAGAGAAGATTCTTAGCATTTTGCTTGTACTAATGTAGATTGATAGGTGTAAGAAATTCGGTTTAAGGTGAACATCATTTCTTTATTCTTGATACCCTGTAACTGTAAGCTTACTCGAAAATTATAAAAGTTAGAGTGAACTTTTACACATTTACGTTACGAAGCGGTCTACTCCTTATATGCAAAAATGGAAAGCATCCGCCATGACAACACAAAGTTACAAGTGATCAAATGCTGGTTTTTTCACTTTCTTGAGATTTTATGCTTATTTAACATAAGGCAAACAAGACCGAATGTTTAACACTATTTTGTGCACTCCTTAAATAAAAATATATTATCTGCCTAAAAATGGGTTAATATTAAAATGAATACGATAGACACCGCGACCACTTTTTTCTTAAGAATATCAGCGAAATGGGTATCAAATAAAAGAACTTGGAGAGTAGAATGCGAAAAACATGGTTGTGGGTAAGTGAAATTCGGACTAAAGCTTGGTTTAAAGAAATGCTGACTGAAGTTTTTTCTTATCATTTCTTCTTAGGTTATGCTTGAGAAACAAAACAAACACCTCTATTCGCCTATCCGCCCAGATTTAACAAACTCTTTGTAGTTTACCACTTTTTTCTTGAAAATTGTACAGTCAGTGTTTAGTTTAGGGTTTCATGCTACGCATATTAAACTCTTTTCAATAAAAACAAGAACATTATAGTCGGGCAAGACCGACCTTTAAATACACTACACCAATTCACCTGGCACATTCGTTTTGGTAATAATGCATCAAAAATTACACATTATTCCATGTAAAGGCATACTATTCCTAAAAGCGCGCATATTGGAGGATCGTCAAAACATCTTGCGTGTGTGTATTGCAACCTAAAAACATCCAAATTTCCTACTGCTGAGAAATCTCAAACGGAGTTGGGACCATGTCAGCCTTGGTCCACTTAATTTTGATGTCAAATTCCTACTCTACACAAATATAGAGTCCTCATTTCTTTGCCAATTTACTATTATGAACCAGCTTGCACCATGAAATATTGGAAATTAGACCGTCTTACCATATAAAGATTTCGTTTTCGTAGGAATAGTTATTTGCGAGCAAGTTTAAAAAATTGCCTCAGTCGAACCAAATTTTTTGAAAATGAGACAAATTTTTCAAAAATCAAAATAATGTGTTATATGAGGAGTGGTCTAAGAAGTGGACCGACCTGAATTTTGAATAGCGTTGGTCCTTGGCGCAAAACACGTCAGTATATGAAATTTCATCAAAATATCGACCTGTACGTTGAACACAAATTTACTTGGGCAGACATCAGACGGATGCGCTGACGGGCAGACACGGTGATTGGTATAATAAAAGGTGGATCTATCTTAAACCCTTTTGCGTCTTGCGTACATCCGCACAAACTCAATATATCCCATACCGCAACCGGTATAGGATATAAAATCTCTCTCACCAGCTAACTAACAGGCATTTACTCAAACTCTAAACAAAAAATAAGGTTAACAGGTTGTAAATACATTTGCAAAATGTAGCTTAAAACATAAAAAATGATTAAAGAAATATATATGATACAGGTTAAGTGCGACATATGAATGTAATGTAATCACGCAAAAGCTATTGAATATTTATTAGATTATTCTGACAAGACAAGTAAATGTATTTATTATTTATTAAAGTAAAACTAAATTATTTTATACATTATATCGATCACTTACGCTTATCATCAGCTTAACACTCCTTTTTATCTTTGTATAACATCATTAGTTCCGATATAAGTGTTATATGTTATGTACATGATTTGCGAAGACATTTGAAAGATTTATTTGAAATACCTGAAAAATGTATTTTTAGGTATATATGCATTCAATTTTAATACTTCATTTCAAGTCACGTTGCAAACGTATTTGAATGAAATTCGCACGATAAGCAACTGCATTTTTTTGTTTTTTTCTTTTTCAGTTTATTTTTTCCCCTAAAAACCTAAAAAAAAGAAAAGGAAATTCGAAGAGAAAAAAAAAACAATTCAAAAGATCGTATTGCGAGTTGGAAGCGACTTTTAAATACCCATCGCATAAAAAAAAGCGTATGTAAATCGCATTTTTATCTTTAATCACGCGGCATTTTTATATGATTCTCGTTACTGCTAGATCTACACATTATTTATCGATTAAAAATCGTAATTTATCGAAGAAGAGAGATGTTGCTTTAATTTTTCTTATTTTAATAAATTTTTGTCTTTTTTTTGAATGCACGACTAAAAGAAAGACTTAAAAGATCTATTAAGTAGACCGGAAATCCAATCCGAAAATTAATCAATATTCTCTACTAGGCTTCACAAGAGTTACAAACCGATCAAAGTGTTTAACAAATTGTAAATTTTCATCCTCTGGTGATGGAATTAAAAATATATACACTATTGCCTTATTTGAGGAAGTTTGACCAAAACCAGTTGTGTGTGGGTACGTGGATAATAAAAAAAAAAAAAAAAGGTTTGATTTCTTTTATAACATATTTTTGTAGTGTAAGTAACCCACGAATGTTGCTTTATATGACTGACGTGTGAATGCATGTGCATCTTCTCACAAACTGGTTTTTTCTTTTATGAAATTTCTTCTTTTTCTTACTCTATTTGCTTTATCCAGTTAATGCTGCAAGTGCCGCGCTTTATTTGATTTTGCTAATTTTCTTAAAAGCAAAAACAAGAAAAGAAAGGAATACATCTGTTATAACTATTAGTAATGCATGATGTGATTGCACAAATTCTGATTAAGAGCGCTGAACTATTAAGAAAGCTTTTAATGCGAAAGAAAACCCTTTTAAAGTAACATTTTTTTTTTTAAAGATAGTTGTTAATGCTAGGAAATAAGCGGAAAATATTGTCAATCTTAAAAATTTAAATTTTAAGGAAATTTTTCTACTTTCTAATTTTAGAAAAATTACTTAAGAGAAAAAACCAGTGCTACGCTTATTCTTATTCAAATGTAATATATCATGTCTTGAAGGATTTAAAGAAAGAGAAAAAACAAAAGCAGTTATGTATTTTAAATGTTCTTCTAACGCTATATTCCACTTGAACGGTGTGGTTTTCGCAAATTTCTTCTAATGTTCAGTTTTCAATTCGTACGCTTGATTTTTTAAACTCTAACCGGAAAATTAATCTTAATTAGACTTTAAACAAACGATCTTGGAGAGTTTCTTAAATATTAAAACCTTTTTCTCATGCCTCGACTTCTCTATGTCTTAAAAAGATAATAATAGGCGTTAAAAAAAAGGATTTCTTTAGTGTGCATTTTCATTACATTGCCCACTGTATACGCATTTCATCTTAGCGCTGCACAAAAGGTGAACTTAACTGCAACTCTGTAGTTATTAACATTTAAGCAGGGTTACATTTTATGAAATGAAAATAAAAAAAAGTCCATGAATTTTTCATGTTTGTCAGTGACGGAAAGTACAACTCTGTAATGGCGTGTGTTTGTGTACAAGAATTATCAGAAAGTGGAAAGAAAATTAACAAATTTTCATTATTTTCCTGCAATTAAGCGAAACTATGTTAATAATTGCGTGTTTAACTTTGAATAGAATCGATAATTAAATGAAAAAAATTGAAAGATTACAAAATGTTCGTCTAAAATATGTTAAATTATTGACTGAAAGCCTTCTATGTGCAAAGAGTAGTAAACTTTTTTTTTTTGCAACGAATCTGTCGAAGGTGGAACATTTTATCGAAAAAGAGGAAAAGCAGAGCATCGCAATGTTGCTGTTGGTCGTCAACATCTGTAAATTTTAATATAAATATTAAAGCTTTTTAAAGACACTACTTTTATAGCCATCGTATTGCATAAATTTTTGATAAGACCTTTAAAAAGATGTAAATTTCATATGGAATTTTAAGGAAAGTGAGCGGTGGTGCAAAAAGAACAAAAAAAAAAAGTTCAGAAGAAGCAGCATATAGTAGTGTTGAGAAAAGTAAGAATAAGTCCAAGAGAAAAAATTTACCACTCGTAGTCAATGTGTTGTTGTTATTATTATATTTGCTGTTCTATAAAATTTGTATCGGCATAGTATTTGTAATACTTATTTATTAAATTTGCATAAAATAGAAAAATAATGCACTTTATTTAATCACATTGAATAAAAATCGCGGTGCTAAGCACCATAGCAGCAATTGTGCAGTTTTCTAATTAGCATCAAGCTGTTGCAAACTAAACTCAAACAATTTTGGACATGGTTAGTTGCTAAGATCTTTTTACAATTAAAGTGTTTACAAGCAATAATAAGAGGTAAGAAATTTTTGTGTGTTGCATATTTAACAATCTAAACGTTTTTCTTTTTGCAGAATGGGCTTGAAGTATGGATTTTAATCTTTCTTCATTTAAGTGCCAGGATCAATATTCAATACAAATAACAATTCTACAAGCACTTGCATTACCATCAATTATTAATTGACGGGACAATATCATCGAAATACGATTTCAAATAGTTTTGAATTAATTGGCTTATTTGCTTTCATATCGACAAGAAGCCTGTCGCTTTACAGGCCATTTCCACTTATTTTTTACCTGGTCGCGTTAAACAAAATCTGCCACCATTCGGAAAAAAAATACTTCCAACATGACCCATAATCTCGGTATGGCGCCATATCGTTTGCAGGGTCCAGCGGGAGGATTGTGTCCTCCCGACTTCAAAGCGCCTCCTCCAACTTCGGAAATAATCTCGGCGCCGAGTAATCCGAAAAAACGACGGAAAACATCGAATGCCACGTCTGCTGCAGCGGCAGCCGCAGCAGCGGCGGCTAGTTCGATGCAACAATCGCAAACTCCTCCAACACCACAGGATTTGCTGCCACCACCCCCAATGGGTGGATTTGGTGATACTATTGTGGCAACGAACCCTTTTGACGATACTCCACCTCAAATGTCAAGTTCAATGTCAGCAATGAATCATATGGGCGCTCCACCGGGTCATTTTGGCCCCAGCGCTCATATGGGAATGGGTGGTCCACACGGTCCGCCGCACATGCATCCACATATGCATCCACATCATCCTGGCGGTCCTCCGCATCATCATCCTATGAGTGGATCGCCAATGCGTGGCATGAGCCCAATGGGAATGGGGAGTCCCTTAGGGGGACCAGTCCATGGTCCCATGGGTGCTGGTGTAGGGCTCCCACCACATATGAACCATGGTCGGCCAGGAGGCCCTCCAATGGGTTCTATGGGCGGAATGGTTGGAATGGGTGGCATGAGTCCTATGGGAGGCATGGGTCCTAGTATATCACCACACCATATGGGCATGGGTGGCCTCTCACCGATGGGTGGGCCTGGACCAAATGGTCCCCGTACTATGGGTTCGCCCATGCAAGGTGGTCCTGGTCCTGGACAAGGGTCGCCCATGAACTCACTGCCAATGGGATCACCAATGAGCGCTGCTATGGGTAGCCCAATTGGTCCACCACCGTCTCATCAACAATCAGGACCACAACAGGGGTCCCAGTCTCAAAGTCAAAATCAACCTCCGCCTCACATGAATAATGGACAAATGGGTCCACCAATGCACAGTCCTTTAGGTAATGGCCCCGCGAATCAAATGTCCGGTGGCCCAGGTCCTGGACCTGGACCTGGCGGCCAACTGCAACCTCCCGGTATGCCAAATCATGGTGGTATGTCTCCCGCTCACAGTATGGCCTCGAATCCCAATAATAACAGCAATAACCCTAATAACAACAATAATAATAGCAATAGCAATCAGAATCAGCAGAATCCATTACTTTCGCCTGCAGCGGGACGCTTGGGGATACCACCTTCACCTTCATCTAATATAACATCGAATGGTCCTTTAGCACCTGTGTCATCAAGCTCAACTTCCTCCTGCACGTCTTCAGCCTCGGCAACAACGACGTCTACTGCGCCCACGACAGTGCCTACAACTTCGCCAGCGCCCGGCAACGGTCAAGCTGCCATGTCTCCACATCATTCAATGAGTGGGAGTGCCGGCAGTGGACCAGGTCCAGGGCCTAGCCCAGGTCCGGGTCCAGGCGGCATGAATAACATTGGCGGACATGGGCCAAGTCCGCTAACTTCTCCAGCATTGCCAGGGAATGTAAATAACAACGGCGGCAATGGTCCTCTTAATAACATGGGTGGTGCTAGTCCTGTTAGTGGTTGCGGTCCGATGGGCGGTAATAATAGTGGAGTTCTCATGAATCACATGCATGGTAATAATAATAATAGTAATGGTCCGTCCTGTCCTCCAGGCGGATCGGCAGGTGGTCCACATAGTGGGGGACCAATGCATCAGCAAATGCATCCTAATGTTCCTATGCAACAACCTCAACAATCGCCCCATGGTAATATTCAACCCAACAATGCCGGACCTGGCAATGCCGGTATGCATAACAACAGCATGGCAGGCCCAGGACCCGGATCAAATCAGATGCTACCTCCTCAACAACCGCCGTCCTCCCATTCGCATCTCAGTGGCTTACCACATTCTCAGCTTATGAATCATCATCATCACGGAGGTCCTGGAGGAGGTCATCAGTCACATATGATGCACGGACCAATGGGAGGCATGGGTCCCCATATGGGAGGCCCTTCTAATCATATGAGCGGACCGCATCCGATGATGGGTGGTGGTCCTCACATGGGTCCCGGAGCAGGGGCGGGACTTGGACCTGGCAACATGAATGGGCCTCACCACCATGGTCCCCATCCGCACGGACCGCACCACGGAATGCCACCACATCCCCACCATAATCCAATGAGCGGTCCATCCGCCATGTTTGGCGGCCCTGGTGGAGGTCACATGGGACCAATGGGTCGCCCAATGGGCAACCATCCCATGAATGCAGGAGGTCCACCAAAACCAATGTCTATGGGTGCCGGAAAAATGTATCCACCTGGTCAACCAATGATATTTAATCCGAATAATCCCAATGCACCGCCAATATATCCTTGTGGCATTTGTCACAAGGAAGTCAACGATAACGAGGAAGCGATTTTCTGTGAATCGGGATGTAATTTTTTCTTTCATCGGTATGTTGTTGTTAGTATATTAAATCTAATGAAATTGATTAAAAAGATAATATTTTCAGAACATGTGTTGGTTTGTCGGATGCTGCTTTTAAAATGATAACTAAAGAAGTTTTCGCCGAATGGTGTTGTGACAATTGTCTGTCTTCCAAGCACATACCGATGGTAAAATTTAAATGTTAAATCACTTAGCGTAACAAGTAAAAGTGGAAACGCAGTACATAATGCATGCAACACTAAGGACTGCCTTGTCTGTAAAAAGTTAGAAAAATATTTATATAAAGCTCATGTAAGTGTATTAGAAATCTTTTTTTCAACTACAACGATAAAGATGATTTAGTTAATATGTAATGATCACACTTAACACTTGACGGAACAATCACAAAAACGAGAAGCCCAGAAATTGTTTTGAAAAAATCTATAAAGATAAAAGAATAAATTTGCACTAACGGTGTACAGTAAGCAAATTGGGAAAGAAAAATGTTTAAAACTTTAATAAATTTGATAAGAAAAAAAGCAAATTACAATTGTGTATATTAAATAAATATATATATATGTATATATATATATATGTATATATATACATATACATATATACGTATATATATATATATATATATATGGAATTCTAAAATAAGATTTAAGAAATTATGCAAAGAACAAAAGAAAAAAAACATACACGTTAAAAGGAAAATAATCGTAACAGCAATAAGTACACAAAACAACACCCCATAATAATAATTTCATTTAATTCTTCATATATGCCTGCCCATGTTTCCCCCAGCATGAGGAAATAAAAGAAGCACAGACAAATAATACGTGGCTTTAGGATACCGGTACCGAACAAACAAAACAGAAAAGTTTAAATAAATTTACTGTTTGCTTCTCTATTATTGCCCCATAACATGGAGATATTGAGCACAATTGTTCATTATTCCTCTTCCTATTATGTCACTTTTCATATTTGTCAATGCCGAAGTCAAGTTAATATTTGACAACTATTATTCGACGATCTTTAAAGGATGGCTTTGCTTTCATTTCAAGTAAAACTCTACCTTATGAAAGAACAAAAAGAAAAAATATGTCAATATTAGTGACTTTAAAATATCCTTAGTTCGCTACGGACTAAGCTTTCGATTTCGGTTAAGAGAGAAGACCAATCTCTTTTTTAAAATTTCTTTTCAAGACTAAAAATTCAAAGGTTAAAATGACTCTCAAATCCACCACCATCTCAATTTTCCAGATTATATACACTTTTTTTTTGATTAGATTTAGAGATATCTTCTGTTGATTGGTATTACAATAAATCAAGAGTCAGAATAAAAATTTGTTATGGCTGTAAACTGGACTTACGGCGAGTGCCGAATATGATAATCGCGGAATATGACTCCAGCTGTGAATTTTAAAAAACAGTTTCGATCTCTTTGTTTTGAATTTTTCTTTTATAGATTGTTTGACTTTGTTAAAAATTGTGTTCAATTACATGTTCTTTTTAAGCTTAGTGTTTTCACTGATGACAGCGAATAGAGAGGTAGTGAGGTAGGTGGTGGGTATTGAAAATTCGTTTTAAGACGAATACATTTCCCTTACTTACTTGTTGACCGATGTATTTCATTTTATTACATTATTCAAACACACATACACTCACACATTACTCATGTTGGAATTTAACTAAAAACTAACAAAAAGAAAAGGTTGTTTTAACATCAAGTCTTCTAAGTCTTAAGCATTTTCTTAGCCATATTAGCTACTTAGCCAATCTACTTTTTCCTTTTTCAATCATAAAGCTATGATATTATTATTATTATTTTTTATTTTGTTTACTTAATATGTAAATTGTAAAATTTTTTAATTATTTGTTTTATTGAAAAATTGTAAAAAGAAGGATACAAACGAGTTAAGTGCTATCTCTAACAATTCTCCCAAACTGTCTCAGAAAAACCATGTATCATGTTTAATAGATATAAATATTTAAACCGATCATGAATAATTGACAAAAACAAACAAAATAAAAAAAAATTTTTTTAAAAAAGAAAACCAAGCATTGTATGTATAAACGCCAGTGTGCACCGTTTTATTGTATTTTACTTTTACTTTTAATTTTTTTTTTTGTTTAATTTTTATTTTACAATTAAGTAAATACTTTTAGTCCCCTAACACCAAGTTCTGTTTATGTTAAATAGATAAAATAAATATATTGACAACAAATTTCATAATATTGTTACATAGACTGCATTTTCAGTAAGATCACGAATTTCAACCCTTTTTATCATCTACTTTCTATTTAATTCTCCTCCTCTGCGATTAATTTTCGCAGATTCTCTTTCAAATATTTGTTGCTATTTTAATTGATCATTTTTCAAATTATTTTTATCCCAATCTAAATTTTTTTTTTAAATTTTAACTTATTGTATGCAAGTCTTACGCTTTTCCTTTTTTTTAACATATCCTTTTTGGTGTTAAGTTTATTTTTTATTTCATATTTTATTATTATTTTCAAAATAGAATTTTAAAAATGTTAAATAAAAAACATATATTCAATTATATTGTCGTCAAAAAATGAATATAATTAAATAAAAATTCAAAAAACGAACGTTTACAAAATAAAGTTACAAAAATAAAATAAAAAAAAAAAAATTAAACAAAGTTCTTAATGATTATATAATAATACAATGATTACGATAATAATTATTAAATATTATAAAATTATAAGTTATTTATAATTAATGAAGAAAAAACTAAAATAAAATAAAAATAATAAAATTAAAAAAAAAAAGACAAATTATTCCTCATTTGTCTTTTGCGGAAAGCTTTTTCGCTGACCACCGATGGTTAATTTAATAAAGTCTTAGTTACTTTCTTCTCTCTCTCCTCTCTTTAATTTTGCATTCCAAATAGCTAAAGCGCTATTTTTCCGTTGCAATAAATATCGTTGCTCATTGGTATTTTCTGGCATGAAGGATTCAAATCCTTATTCAATCAGCACTAGTGCCAGATGCATTGCAAATAACTGGTATAGTCTTTGCGTTATTACTAACTTATCTGCTAATTATAAAGAACTTTCTTTTCAATTTTCAAAAAAAAAAAAAAAAAGGGCGGGGCAGTTTTCTACAAGCTCAGGTAGTGCGTGGTAAAAAAGATTTGCGGTCTGAGTTGAATGCCAAGGAAATTTCAGATGGTCTTCCTTTTCTGGAATATGAACTTCATAGAGTTTTGATTAATAAACTAAAAGCTAAGGGAATGAATGCAATTTTCGGTTTAAAAGTTCAAGTTGCCATAGGAGAACGAATGATGGCGCTCGTTGCAACGGGCACAGCATTTTTCTTAAGCGCTTTACTGATTCCTCAAGTACCAAAAATAGTGGCTGGCAACTCGTGGACTGACAAACAAAAACTAAATGAGTTGCAGAAAAAGCTTCAAGACACTTTTGATCGTAATCAAGAGATATATCAATTAAAGCCGACTTATGCGGATGGTAAAGGTGGTCTCTTAGATAAAAATTCCGATACGGATGAGTCGGATGAAGAGGGCGGCGAAGTCGATTTAAATTGTGGTAATAAAGATACTTGCGTGTTGGAAGTGGATGATATTGAAGATTTGGAAATTATATCATTACTAATGGAACCATATCCACCGGAGGGATTTCATATAGTTAACACGGAAAGATTACCCGGCATATTGGATATGGAATTAGTAAAAAATCTGCAAATGTTCACTCAAGTATGGAAGGCAAAATTGGACATTGCTCAAAGTATAAGTAATTTTCAGAAGCATTTTCAAAGGTATTCAATGAAAACAAAATTCTGTTCCGTTGCTCGCATGATTGGGTGTGTTCTTTATTTTGCAGACTATTACAAACTATTTTCTTTAAGTTACGTACGATGATTCCTTGCGCTATTTGCAATTTAAGTTTTAAACTAGATTTTCCAGAATCGGTAGGTAACGCGGCAAGCTATTTACCTAAGGAATTTTTTAACAAATTTTTTCATCAATCAATAAGGATCAAATTCAAATATTGGTCGTGGGTATGGCTCTAAGATTAGAAGATCCCAGTAAACTTAAAAATAAACGTAAATGTGCAACAACAAATGGTCAATCCGAAAGCAACGAAACATCGAATAAACGTTCGCAGCAAGAGGATGATCTTATTTTTCCTTTAGATGAGGACCATGTGATCGAAACCAATACTCCACTAGCATCTTATAGCGCTCATATTCTTAAAAGTCGTAAAGCATCACCAATCCTGTCAGTATCCGCTCTCAACATTCGCCAGTGCTATGTAAGTTATGCGCTTTTAAAGTTACTATGATTACTGTTACCGCTAACGACAAGTAGATGATTTTTGCTTTTCGCATCAAAGATTCCTTTGCAGAATGTGTGAATCTCATGGTTTCATATATTTCTTACTTAGAATTATTGAACATAAATTCCATGAAAACTTCATTAACTCCATGTGATATGGTTTAAGTACTGCAACAATCTGTTAAAGCACGACCTATGTTTTCATACTTTAGTTGGAACCACAAACTGCTTAATATCGACCCGGATGTTTATAAATACATCCAGGATCTCCTAATGAAAACTTTAAATGTATTTAAGATAAATATTTTAGTTGTCTTCCGCATTTTATACCACCTACGCAAGGACGTAATAGCTGCTCGCAAAAATTTTGATCACTTTTTCACTTGAAAAAGGCATTTATTGTGGAAATATAAGTATAATATATATACTAATCAAAATAGTTTCCATCATTTTCTACAACATTTCGCAATACATTTGGCATTACATGTCGAGAAACCTTATATTGATTTGGCACCGATACACCCACCAAACCATTTTCGCACATGTTCAATGATGACCAGGTCACTCCTGTAGCAATACAAGAAGAATACATAAAAGAATAGAAGCTGTCCTTAAATACGGCTCTTGGCTGTCTGAATTTATTTCTATAAGTATGATTACCTTTTAGTACAAAATATTGCGTTATTTTTAAGTTAAGAACTGTCCAGTTGGGAACATGTGATATTTTTGGAACTAAACTCCTTTTAAGTTCTTGTTTATAGTTAATACAACTCAAACAATTTTTAAATACGGAAATTTAGGAACAGCAAATTTACATATGTAACAGGAGCAAAATGGAAAAAAATACCACCCACCAACAAAAACCATATACATCTATTTTTCTGTTCACTTTTGTATGTTATAATACAAATACCCCTTAACGAAATGTTTAATGAATCATGTGCAATACATATATAAATCATATGTAGTAATTTATAGTCACCTCCAACAATTATTTATTACAAAAACACTACAAATTTGAACTTTTTGCCAAATAAGTATGGTAGTTTACATATCATTATTACATATTAGAGTCCTGCACGCCTTGCAAAGAATTGAAAATTGTTTGATGTAAATACTTGAATTCTTATTTTTCGGGCTTTAAGATCATTTAATTAACAAATAATGCCATTGTACGCCAAAAGTTAGCCCCATGGCATGACTTCACCATAAAAATCTTTACTTTTACATTTGAGCCAATAGCCAACACTTTGCTATTATTATTAAAGTCAGATTTCATCTTAACAATACATTTCCAATACATTTAATTGAAATGCAAAATTGATACTTTGACGCGCGTAGCACTGCATACTTTTGAATTTCTACGATTATCGGCGTCGTTTTTGCTTCTATTGCCTCTCCTTCCGCGACGAATGCGTCACATACTATCGCCTCTCCACTCCCGTTTTTTCACTTTTCAGTATGTAATAAAAATTTGGAAATATTTACTAATGGAAGTTATATTAAATTAACATATAAACACTCACCTAAAGACATCTCTGACGCTTGCTTTTTTACCATTAGTCAATGCTGCTGCTTGTGACAACTTCTTTTTGAAAAAGAACTTTCTTGAAAATTTAGCGCCTATGTATGTAACGTCAGTAATAAACGCTCTCCTAGACACAATTTTTTTTTTATAACATTTTTATTTTTAGCTTCAACTTCAACTTCATAATTGACTTGTAAGTGAATTTTATTGAATTGAATATATATAAAAGAAAGACTATACAAAATAACTAGACATATGCATCATGCGTTACGTACACAAAATTTACATTTATAATATATATATAGTTGACGTGCTGGAAGAAGCAAATCAATAAATTTGATATAGGAAAAATTATTTAATAAGAGAAATGATTATAAAGATTAGAAACGCATTCTTTCTGTGTTGTGTTACTTTGTTGTTGTGCCATACCAACTAATTGGGATCAGCATGTTCACAAGAACTAAAGCAGATAATGGAAATTTTGCCAAAACTTTTCTTAATGAATTTGAAATTCGTAGTTAAAAACTGGCAGTGATTTATCTCGCCCACAATAGAGAAATAAATTTTGCACCAGCAAAACGCAATCTCTCAATGATTTTATTTTATTATTGTTGATATAAGAAGAATGTTTTAAAATTGGTGTTTCATAATTCAATTCAATTCAATTGCTGACATTCAAAAGTGGTCATTTACATGAAATCATTTTTAAATTCATTGTAAATTTTGTACATTATCTTGTACACGGATTTAAAGGTTTCCTGCACGTCTTCCTTCGAAAATTCTGCTTTGAGATATTTGTACGATAGTATGTGGCTATCATGTTTATTCTTCGTCACAATTCAGCCGCGTACTTTTTTCCATGCTCTTCTTTTGGTAATCGTCAATTCGTTTATACATGTCTGGAATTTTATTTTATCCCTTATATATTTGCCTACAATATACAACGTCATGAGCTTGAAATATGCTGTGTGCTATGGTGTTCGTCGGCGAGCTCTTATGTTTTCATAAGCTACGCCATCCAGGCCGAATGGACGAAACTCTTCTTTGGCCTGTTTTGGGATTCGGTAGTCTAATGTTTCAATTAGTTGGCAGTCGCCGGTCGTAGATTGTTCTTGGCTCCAGTATTCTATCTGTTTGCTGATCAAGCGCTGTGCCAGATGTACTACGGTCTTGTTCTTTTCCTAAAATGCGGAGCCATATTACAGCCAAATCTTTCAATAATATCTTAGCTCTACGAAATTTGCCCGTTTTTTATTAGATCAGATACCTTAGCTTCGAAAGAAAACCTTTGAAAGTCGTAGAGTTGGGATAAACGAGCAGATTAAATTTGCAAAACTGTATGATCTGAAAAAAAGAAACACACAGCCGCAAAAGCTTAAAATCGGAGATCTAACAAAAGAAACAAAAGAAAATGTCGGAATGCTTGGTTCCCTGTAAGCAATCTGCATCTTATATCCGTACGAAATCCTCGTTTTATGTGTATAATAAAGCTTTTGAAAAATTTTATTTCCTTTCAGTAGGCCTTTAAATCAAATCAATCAAAAATAAAAATAAGTAAAAATGTTATATAAGCCTTTGGCAAAATCTTTGAGTGGCGTATATTCGTTCTCATTTGTTATGCATGTATTGTAGAAATTTATAAAATAAGCGTATATTCGTTCTCATTTGTTATGCATGTATTGTAGAACTATTTCCTATTTTTTCTTTCCATAAATATGAATATTACTTGCTTTGAATTTTTTTCTTTATCCTTTGACGCCGAAAATTAAACTTTTATTTACCAGTTAGACGATTTGAAATCTTCACTATTTGAGCTCATTCATACATTCTAAAATTTATTCTTCTTACTTTGGAGCCGAAGCTAACTATCTTCACCTTGCAAACTGTTGTGAACTTAATCAATAGCCTATATCGTGCAATGGTCTCCCCTTTAAAACGCCGACTCCCAAAGACCGATATAACTCTAAACCATTTCAAGAGATTTTTCTCAGAAAAAAAAAATTATTTTTCACCCATAGAGAGATTGTACTTGGAAAAGATCATTTTTCGTCCACAGAAAGAGACTTTCAGTGTAAAACAAGTAAAAGTAAAATGCCATGGACCACCGTTGAATGTCTCATTTCGCTTGTTATAATTATTCATATAACGACTTTTAAAAAGAAGGCGTTATACAGGGAGTAGTCGAAAAAGTGGTTGGATCCGAACCATTTAATATAGCATTTGTCCTCGGTCTAAAGCACGTCAGTGTACTAAATTTCACGAAAACATCTCAAAAGAAAGGTAGAACACAGGACGTACAGGCGGACAGGCAAGGTTAGATCGATTCAGAAACTGGTTCTGAATCATTTTCTGATTTGAACGGTATAATAAAACATGGGTCTAACTCAAATCCTTCTGGGCGTTGTATGCATCCCCACAAAGTTACTATAGCCTTGAACGCATTTTTCCCAATTGTTTTTAGGCGATTATACGCAACAATTTGATACGAACCGGTTCACAATAGTAATCTCCAATCGCAAAAATCTTTATTTCGGACTACACTATATAAGCGTTCATATAAAGGCAGGGCTTTTCTATGGCAGTAAAATGTCATCCGTAGTATTTTATGGAGAAAATATGTGAAGTACAATAATCTTTAATTAGGTAAATAAATTTGGTAAACTAGGACCACGAAGGCTGTACTAAGTACCTTAAAACAAAGTTCAAAAAAGGAAAAAAAAACCAACAAAAGGCTCAAAACTTAACACTACTCTGCATGCATGTTTGATGCATACACTAACACTACTCTTATGCATGTTTAATATTTAATTAATAGTTAATCTAGCAAGAAAAGAAAAAAAAGGAAAGACAATTTCGATATATGAAAATAAATAAGAGATAGTACAGAACAAATGTTAAGGGCGCAGCAATTTGTTACTAGGAATTCAACGGAACAAATGCTCCAATAGCTATAAATAAAAGTAATGTCCCTCGAAAAGAATCGTTCCTCGAATATGGGTCCGGTAATAGTAATAGTCTCAGTTCAGATTCTACCAGCGAACGTTCCTGCAGGAGAGATTGCAAGCTAACGGCTTTGCAGTATTCATTTTGAATAATACCGGACGACATTGTCATGTTTTCCTAACACAGCGTGGACCCATACTTCATTCAAAGCACGTTTTCTTATGTTTTGGATCCCCTTCAACCAAAGCATTAAACATTTTCTTATTTAGTGAAACGAAACGAGGCCAAGTTCATACTTAATGGTCGACCATGCCCAACTGTAATTATACCGTACACCACTTATGTTTGTCTTATTAAGTTTGTCCGGACGTAACACCCAGAAAGGCTTAAAACCGCAATGTTTCTGAATCGATTTAAGTTTGTCTGCCCGCAAATCAGCCCGATGACTTTCCATGTAGGCTTTTGTCCAACATATAAGTCGCAATTTTTGAGATATTTCGGTGAAACTTAATGCGCTGACCGGTACTGAAGATAGTTCCGATCGGTCCACTTTTTCGACCACCGCCCATAAAAGAAAACTGCAATTTTCAAAATTCTTCCACAAAAGTTGCTAAGGAAAAATATTTCGACATCATAAATCGATATAAAAAATTTGCCTCCGCTGGAGCGATTTTATGAGCCCCCTCTCACGTAGTCGTTCCTATGAAAATTAAATACTTATGCGGTAAAGTGTTATAAATTTCAATATTTCATAGTGAAAGTTGGATCATAATATTAACCTGCAAAGAAATTGAAAAGAATTTGGACCAAGCAAGTCTATTTTTTAGATAGTATCGCATATAACGGTTCTAAGAAAATGTAAAACTTTTAATGCTAAAAAGAACTCTTGAAAAGAACATTGTTAATGTTTTGTGATGAAAATTTGGTCCTAGTAAGAATTTGGAATAAATATATGATGATATAAAAATTAAGGCATCGACATAAAAATTAAGTGAACTAAATTCGGACCACAAGGGTCCATATTTAATTTCTCATGAGTGGTAAGCCCTTCACAAAAATGTATGATGAAAATTGGTCCTTAGTAGCAATTTAGTAAAAACCAAACGGTAAGCAATTTGGAACTCATAGGCCTATTGTTTAGGCTGTGGGAAGACATAGGGGTTATCTTGAAAAAAAAGACTTTATATAAAGAGAAAGAATAAGAAAGAATTTCTTATTTTTTATGACGGAAACTGAAAAATAGAAATTTTTGGGAAGTAAATTCATGTATAAAAAAAAAGTAGACTTTTATTTTGAAACCGCTGCTAAAATTTCAAAAGAAGGCAATCGTTTAAAAATTGAACTAGTAGAGCTAAAGGGCTTTTAAAATTTCAATTTTGAAAACTTTTTTTTTACTTGTAAATAACAGTGTAAATAACGGAAGAGCTTTGGACACTTTTGTGGGCGTGACAATGTCGTATTTAAATTTTATCAGATCCAAATGCTTTTTGTGCGTGCCCAATCATTCAGTGCATTCAAAATACCTGAACTGCAGTTCTATGAAAATATTCGCAAAACGGACTTTCCCTACATAAGTTGTACTACAAACGGGGAGCCCCACAAGGGCTTGAGGTAGACTAACCATTTGTTATAATTAAATCAAACTCAAAATTACTTTTTGATTTGAGTTAAAAATGTCGGCCCGTCTTGTTTTCAACCTAATGACCACAATTTTTGTGTTATTTTGATGAAGTACGCTGACGTAATTGAGCCCAAACACGCTGATGGCATTTTTTCTCATATAAAGTCTAATTTAGAAAATGTGTAGCGTTATGTAAGGAATTTAATGGTGGGCTATGTCGCACCATAGTGGTTTTTTTACCTATCATCAATGGATGTGTACATTTTTTATCAAAACATATGAGATGAGGAAGCTTCGAAGATCCTGTAAACTATATATACTCTCAAGCAATGTCAAACTCTCCAAACGTCTAGTCAAGACCGTCCGCAAACTTTAGCAACCGCCTGTGGTCGACATTGTCCTGGTCGTAAAAATTACGAAATTGGCTTCAAAGCATTGGTAGCTCCTGCCCGCAAAGCTGGAACCTAGAACACGGCTATGGTAAGATCTAAACTGAGAACATCTATTAAGCTACTACTACTCATAAACTACAATAGATAAAATAATAAAGCGTTCATGGATGCTGCGCTTACTGCTCTTTCTGCAATTTTCGCTATAGGAGCTGGTTACACTCATACTGGACTTTTAAAACCCCGTATAATACTTTTAGCCTTTGCTATGGGTTAGCCTAGTGCCTAGTGCTTATACAAAAATGGAAATATCACTCACGTAATGTGTTTATAGCCTACACCACTTGTGGTACAGGGTATATTAAGTTTGTGCGGCCGTATGTAACACCTAGAATGGCTTAAGATAGATCTAGCTTTTATTATACCGATCAATTTGGAATCATTTTCTAAATCATTCTAAGCTTACCTGTCCCTATGTCCGTCTGATATGAGTGTTTCAAACTGCAGGTCGCAGTTTTACTTTAACCAAATTTTGTACACAGACGTACTTTGACCCAAGGACGAAAGCCGTTGAAAATGATTCCGATCGGCTCACCTTTTCGACCACTCCTCATATAAAGCCCTATTGAAAAAGTATGAAAAGTAGTTATATGGAAAAAAATTGCAATTTTCTAAATTTCTCAATAAAAGTGGCTACGTTGTAGTATTTCCAAATTGGTGTGAAAACTTTTAAGTGCAAGGCACAATTTTTTGAACCCCTATTCACAAAACGAGAATTGAAGTTTTTACGACAAAAAGTTCTCATTTTCAATCGCAGGTCTTTTCTGACAATACCTCCCGATATAAGAGTCTTACGAAAAGTAACCCTTTGCGTGGCAACAATGTTTAATTTTATAAATCTGATATCTGAAGAACAAATAAGGATCGTGTACCTCATTTTCTGAAAGTATATTCTTCTTTTTGAAATAAGCAGTTGAGAAGTATAATTCTAAAATTAATAAAATATAATTATTTTCCTTAATTCAAATATGAGCGAAAGAGAAGGACTTATTATTTAAGTTTTCTAATATATTTCATTTTGGGTAGTTCAAGGTATGGTTACAGAAGTGTGGTGAAATAAATCTACGTAATAGCTACCTAAAGCTGTGGAACTAAATTCGACACTAAAATTGAACTTAGTAAATTTGTATTGCCTTAGGTTGCGTTTTGTGAACGTTTCTCGTGAATGTCCACATGAAAAATATGCTTTTGTGTAGAAACAAGGTATAATATTTGTGTTCCATAACAAAAACAAATAAGAAAGTTATAGTCGGCGGGACTTGAATCTCGTAAATCTACCACTATGCTTGTCGTATTCTATTCTCCAAGTTCTTTTATTTGATATCCATATCGCTGGCAATATTAAGAAAAGATTATTCGCGGTGCCTACCATATTCATTTTAGAATTAACCCATTTTTAGCCAAACAATATATCTTCATTTGAGGAATATATAAAATACTTTTAAAGAGTCTGTCCCGCTTGCGCCATGATAAATAAGTGAAAAAGTGAAAAAAAAAATTGTTAATCACTTGCAACTTTTGTTCCCACTTTTGCACGCAAAGAGTAGAGTCTTCCGTAAAGTAAATGTTGACAAGTTCAACCTTTTAACTTTTATGTTTTCTGAAAAAACGCACAAATATTTATTAAGAAAAAAAAAAGTTGCGTTCAGTTTATGCTCTACTGCGGGCTTCCGATCTGACCAAATCGGCCCATTTTCATTACCAACCTGCGTGCAAAAACTTCGAAAGTTTATATCAAATTTGAATTTTTCCGATAAGGAGAGTGGCATCGACAAACACCACACAGACAGACGGACATGGCTAAATCAACTCAGAATTTTGTGCTTATTAAGAATGTATATAGTTTATAGAGTCTCTGAAGCTTCCTTTCGAGTGTTACATGCATTATGAAAAAAAACAAAATGAGCATGCCCTCCTCCTTCAGCGGTGGGTATAATAAAAATTGTTTTAAACAATTTAGTGTAGATTATCTAATGGTCGGCCTTGCACGTTTAAAATGTTCTTACTTGTTTTCTTTAAGATAAAAGATTCGTCTACACCTCGATATAATTCTTTTACTTGTTTTTGGATATCGCTAAAGTGATTAAAACAAAAGAAACTGGAAAAAAAATCTCACAAGTACCTTTGAAGCGAATATAACTTAGTTCAATTAGATGGCTGTTGGTTAACTAGCAATTTTAAGACTAAAACAAAATAAATATCCACAAGGTGCGATTATTAATTAATTTTTTTTTTTTTTTTTTTAAAAATTTATAAAATTCATATAATTTCGTTTACATTTAAATTGATTTTTTAAGCACTATTTTTGTTTTCTAGTATTCAATTTAAAAAATAAATGAACCCATACATATTTACATATATATATATATATATATATACATAATGTCAATATAGATAGAAACAGTGAGAAGAATTCCGAAGATAACTAAATAAATTGAATTGGAATTGTTTAGAAAATATGCAGATATTGTATATATGTATGTGTATGTGAAAACAAATAGCAAAATATGTTGATGCACGCATAAATATAAATATATATATATATGTACGTAAAGCCGCTAAAATATTTTTCCTAATGGCCCAACATATATGTTGTACACACAAATGACGGCAGTGTTTGCTGATGTTAAGAGAACAAAAAGAGATATATGTGTATATATATTTATATACATATCTATATATTTACATATATATACAGACGTATACAGATATATATATATATATGTATAATAGTACGTGGACATGAGACTATGTCGTGCTCGATTCAGCCATAGAGGTTATACTAGTGCCCTCTTCAAGACTACGATATAAATCCGGGAATTTTAAAATATCTGTACTTGTAAGATTACCGGCATTATATAAATTTGTATAGATCTAGAAAAAGGACGTAAATTTATTATTTAAAGAGAATGGAAAATTATTTCAGTCACTTACAGATTCCATAATTTTCATTTCTCTGAGCAGATCGCTTCTCATTTGCATAGTGCTGGCGCGTAGTCGCTCCTCAGCCATAGATATAAATCCAGGCGTCCAATGAGCCTGATTGCGTAATTGGGTTAAACGATTTTTTTCAATAACGTCGCGTGGCACCCGAGCACGTTTACGACTGCGGTCTTCGAATTTTGTCCCCGGACGACTATGCATTTCGTTTTGTTTACGTCGTTTCGCCTCCAATTCCATGCGCATTTTTTTAGCAACCTCTTCACGCTTCTTACTAGCTGCCGTCTCGGCATAAATAGAAGCTTGATTTTGCACTCCATAGAACTGACAATAATAATTCAGTTTATTCGGTTCAGTTGGCGGCATAATCCGTCGAAAGTCGCCCAAGTGACTTTCTTCCCATGCGATTTGCTGAGCCAAAGCACTGAGAGGACAATCACCTGTTGAATTACTGCTTAATGTTTTATTTTTTGGCGAACCGTTCTGATTATTCCCTTCGGTGGTGTTATTAGTTGAATTGCTAAAATTAGATCTCTGTGATCTGCACATTAAAAAACAAAAGCAATTACAACTTTTCCTCCATTAACTATAATGTAAAGTGCACTTAATTCTCTTTTTACACAAATTTTTTTGCACAAATTTTTTTTACACGAAATTTTATTCAACACAAGTTAAAAAGCAAAAATCCTCTTTTTACGCGAATTGTTTTGATTGCGTAAGAATTTCCCTTTCGATGTTTCTATGAATTTTTTCATTCTCCCTCCTCATAAATTTGCATTGTAAGTTCGCGTTATTGTTTTTCGCAATTCAGTTAGATATTGCCGATTATGCGCGTATACAAGTGAGATGCCTCAAATTATGTATAGAATGAAGATGTAATGTATCTTTTAAGCAATTTAGTTTGGTTTTTCCAAGTGTAATATATTTCTTATAATATATTTGATAAATTAAAATGTGTAAGTACGAAATCAATTCTTAAGTGAGCTCTGGTAAGAATTTTTTAATATTGTTTATTGTACTTTCCTGTTCGATTTTTTTTTTTTTTTTGTTTAGAACCAATATAATTCTTTTCCCCTCTAGCCAATATCTTTTTTTACACGGTTTTTTCGGATATGCCGCTATCGCATAAAAAGAGAATTTAACTTACACGTTGCCTTGCTTGACGGATTTAAGCAAACGTTGCTTAACTCGTTTCCTATCTTCACGCAAAATTTGCCTTTTATCAGCGAGAGCCGTGGCTACCAAATTCAAAGTATCTTTTATCAATGGCTTCTTAACTTGTCTATCGACCAATTCGTTGGTGTGAAAGCTAGGTGAATGATTCACCTCCAATATATATGGTCGCAATTTCGAATCGACGAGTATATCAAAACCAAGTATTTCAAAACATGCCTGAATTCGATCATGAGCCGCAAAGCAGGCATGATAATTGTGTTTTAACATTGGCCAAGCGCTTAATATTGTTTTAATAAGAATATCATCGATTTTACTCCAAAATTCATCGACATTATGATTACGACGACGTAGCCAAGTGTTAATAGCACTCAGTTTACGTTTACTGCCACAATCATCATTGTCGCACATCTCATAATGAGAATTGCGTCTATTAACCGAATAATTTGTTAAATGCATGAAGAGATCGCATCGATTGTCTGGTGTCGGTTCTACATATTTACTGGTGGCGAAACGCGCTAAGCCTTCGTTATAGACAAATATGCGTAGCGGGTCAACCGATGTAATTAAAGCATACACACGTAAATCAAATTTGTAACCATCAATTAAAAGGGGCTATATATAAAACAAATGGAACCTAATTTCTATTTTTATAGAACATGGATTAAATTTCATTCCTTGCTTACTTTGCTTATATAGGTTTGACAAATCATACGTTCACTGGGATTAATCGTTTTCAAATCATTTGTAAGCCATATACCTCTGCCCTGAGCTCCAGCATCTGGCTTTATAATGAAAGTGACGGGCTTAGCACGGGATGTGGAATAGTTTAAAGCATCACCATAGCTATTTCAGTTTGAAAAATAGCAAAACATTGATTTATTTTTAGCTGATAAGCGATTAATTAAGAAAATATAGCTTTATTCTTACTCAGCCGGAAAGACCCAAGTTTTTGGAAATATTTTATACTCTTTGGGATATAATTTAAGCATACGATTTAAATTTCTTGAAAGTAAATCTTTCCGACATATTTCCATCATACCGGGAAAATGATTGACTTGCTGAAAACGTTTCATATTCTTGTAAAGCTCTACACCAGCTAATGAATCCGTCCATAATATGTTCCACAATTTATTATCTTTTACCATTCGAAAGCCCAAGGTCTTTGCTACTTTACCGATGATAGTATAACGGGAATGGCAAACGCACATACTGCAACGGGTTGAGCTATTAATTAAAAAAGAGTTTTTACTGCTTTAGCATCGAAAAATACACGTTGTTTTCATGCAAAAGCATGCTTTTCGCGAAAGCCACCATTTTGGAGGATGCCTGAAACGTCACATGATGTCATACAAATTCAGCAAACTTACTTTGCCTCCTAAGAATTTTATTAATTTTCAGTTTCCGTCATAAAAACTAGAAATTAGATTTTCTCTCCGTAAAAGGCCTTTCTTTTCATAATAATCCCTATATATGTTAGGGTGTAAAAAATCCACTTATGTGATCCAAACCCCCTTGCGTTAATTATTTTCCTAAATTAGTACTATTTATCGACATTCGTCATAAAATATTAAAAATTACACCTTTTTTTGAAGGGCTTGCTATTCATGAGAAGTCTTATAGGGAGCGGCATCTAAGAAATTTAGTCAATTTAGTTTAGTTCAAATTTAGTCCACTTAATTTTTATGTCAAATTATTGTTATAAACCAATTTTCATCACAAAACATTGTCAATTAAGCTTTTTTGGCATACAAGGGTTTACATCTCCTGAGAATCCTTACATACGGTGATAACCAAGGAACAGACCTACGTGTTCCAAATCCGTTACGGTTGATTTCTTTGTCAGCTTACTGTTATGAACTATATGATGAACCATATTGATCTATTTTAAATCTTTTCACCCAAACTTGGTATATCCTATAGCACAAATGGCCCAGCGTATAACTACAGCCGGTCAAATTCTATCATAAAGTATTAATTTTGCAAATTTCGCTTTTATACACCAAATAACAAACTGCTCCAGAAGCTCTAACGGTTGGAGGATAACCAAGAAATAAACTGACGTCGTCCTAGTTCAGCAAATTTGTTCATCTAATTAAAAATTTTATTACTTTTCACGTTCCATTCCACTCCAATCGTCGATTAATCGGAAAACAGTTTATGGCAAGGTCAAGTTCTTTCCCAATTTGTTGCTATAAAACAATTTCCACCATGAAATATTGAAAATTGAACCTGTTTACCATGCAAAGATTTAGTTTTCGCGAAAAGGGTTATTGTGAAAAATGGTTCAAAAAATTAACCCGGTCTGGTCAAATTTTTCAAGCTAATTAAAAATGTCGAAATAGGATTTCGCAACAAATTTTGTCGAAAAAGCTTGAAAATTGCAATTTTTTTGCATATAACAATTTTTCAAAATAAGGCGTTATACGGGGAATGATCAAAAAAATGAAGCAATCCAAGCCATTTTCAGCAGAGTTCGACCTTGGGGAAAACACATCGGGCAGACATCAGTCGAAACAGACGGGAATAAACAAGGTTCGCAAAATCATTCTCAATCGATCGGTATAATAAAAGGTGGGTTTATCTTAAGCCCTGCTGTATGTTACGTAGGCCCGCACAAACTCAATATATTCTGTACCACAAGTGCTGTAGAGTATAAGAAAATTCAAAGGAGGAATTTCAGACTTGTTTATTTATTTACTTTGTATATAGATATATTAAACCTTATATGAATTACAACATAGTCTTACGGGGAGTCGCACTTATTTTCAAAAGAGTTCTAAGAGGATTTAAATTTTTGTATTAAAAACGTAATTCATTAAAAGAAAAATTCTCTAGACACGCAAACAAAGGGAAGCGATTTCTATCCATGTACTGAACATGAAACGGCTAGTAGGAAAAGTTAAACTGAAGTTTCGGGTATCTCAAAGCAGTTCTTTATAGAGTACCATGCCGTTGCAATCGTACAAGAATCGTATTCTTATGTTTTCACGATCTGTAATATATTGACTTTTTCCCAAATGCGAAGGGAATTTGATAAGTTGTATTAAAAATTGAGATTTCGGAGAAAAAGGGTTTTCTATCTACGTACTCAAAACATTTCTTTATAGAGTGCCACGGCATTGTAATCGTGCAAGAATCGTTTTTTCAAGATTTCGCGGTTTTCGATATATATACTGTTTCTCATATTTGCAAAGCAGTTAAAAAATACGTTTTTGCTAGCAATAGGGGCGAATACGCAAATCGTTCTGAAGAGAGTGCCAACTGTACTTTTAGTAATGAGGCAGACTACCCTGTATTGCATAATATGAAACTTTGAATTCGCTCCGAGAAAATTCCAAGAAACACAGCTAAATATAGAATGGTTTGTCTCAATAATCTATTCAACTACCATACGACAAAAACATGCCCGCTTGCTAGTTCTATAAGCTGTTGAAATTTTGAATTGACTTCACGAAAGTTCCAAAAAACGTAACTAAATTTCGAATATTTTGTTTCCATAATGTGTTCAACTACAACGCAGTAAGGATATGATCCCTTGTTAGCTCTGTAAGCTTTTGAAGCTATGTATTGACTTCAAGAAAGTTCCAAGAAACACGGCTAAATTTCGAATGGTTTGCTTCAATAATCTATTCTACTACCATACAATAAGAACATGATCCCTTCCTAAATAAAATATCGTCAAAACTAGAGGCTGTTACTATTTCTTTTAGAAGTCCTCCCTCTAAGTCGTCGCGCTATTAAGTATGTCCTTGTGCTTAAGGCAATTCTTGTTGGTCGTCATTTTTATTTTACGCAGAGACTTAGGAACAGTCTTTGAATCGATACTTTCGAAGGCGAGGCAAATCTTACCTTATCGTTGGTAACGATTCGTTGCTGCTTCTCTTCTTGGGTGGTACACCGGTAATACCTTTCACTTGAAAGCAAGTATTGTTGAAATGTATTAAACCGTTTACGGTGGTGTCGTCTTCTCCTTCAACTGGCTGGCATTGTTCGCATTGTTGGACTAGGAATTGTTGTTGACGTAATTTTATTTGCTCGATGGAATTGTCTTCAGATCCAGAACCGCCTATAAGGAACGGTTCTTCCATTTTACTGTCCTCAATGCCATTTCGTTCCTGAAAGCAATTGGCTAAATCAAAATCGAGACGATTGCGTTCTTTCTCTTTGCGTATTTTCTCTTTCGATATCCGACGAAGCGTTTGAATGCGTTTAAAAAATTTCGAATTTTTTAAATTCATCGTTTCTTGACTTTTGTTTTTATCTTTTTATTATTTGATTTGCAACTCGATTCAGTTAGATTCGAAAGATATAGTTTATACAGAATAGTAAGTTTCCGCGCTTATACGTCAAGGGAACGAAGTTTACGATATATTCCTTTTATATTATTTTTTAAGTTCTATGTCAAACACTTTTATTTTGCAGCTTGTTCTTAAAATTTTTTATTGATTTTTTTATGCAAATTTTGCTATTTTTGCATTTATCGCATTTAATAAAAAATCAAAACATTTCTTGATTTTACGGATAAATTCTTATGGAATTTTTAAAATTTGAGTTCCCGAGAAAATATTGACGCAAAATAGAAACAAAAGAATTTGAAAACTTGATCGTCTGTCTCGATTCTAAGACTAGTCACAATTAATGTGCCCCTCCAAAGAAAGTTCAATTCAGTATTGAAAGATATATATGAGAAAAAATAAATTAAAGAAGAAGAAAATACAAAAATCATTTAACTTATCGTAACAAAGTTGTAGGCTTTGATAAATATTTTTATATATATCTTAGCTTGGGCCCAATATGGAATCGTCTTGTGCCTTAGAATGAATATATCTTGCTTGTCAACCTCAATCAAATTCGCTTTTTGCACGAATTCGTTTTACACGATTTAAAAAAAAAATTCTCTTTTTACACGAATTACTCTGTTTTAACACGATTTTCAATATTCTATCAATATTTTTTATGAATTTTTTGAATGGATTTTACTGATGAACTTTTATACACTACACCACTTGCAATATAAGGTATATTAAGTTAGTGCGGATTTATGTAACACCCAGAAGGGTTTAAATGGATCCACCTACGCCATCTGAATCGAATCTAGCTTTGGATGGGCTAGAGTAATTTAAGAAACCCCTCTCATATAACGAAAACTGAAGTTCATATAACAAGAAGGTCTAAATTTCAATGCTTCATGACGGAAATCAGATCATAATAGTAATTTAAGATAAAAAACTCAATGTACCGAATTTGGACTACCCACCCTATATACGGATTTTTACGAAAACTTTTATTTCTTAGGGAGAGAAGTCGAAGTTTTAATTTTTATGATGAAAATTGATCCATAACAGCAGTTTGATATAAAAATTTTCTGTGCTGAATTTTGAAACCTTACCACAATTTTTGAACCTCTTGGACACAAATAAGAAATTCCTTGGATAATGTGGTTTAGGCTAATAAATACCTTAACGGCCTAGCTCGACTGTTTTGATCTTTCTACGAATTTTTTCAGGCTCACTGCCCACAAATACGCTTTGTAAATTCGCGGTATAATTTCGTTAGATTTTGGCGATTATATGCTTATATCAGAGGGATTACCCATATAGAGAAAAGATGTGTAGAACTTATTGCAATTTTAGCAATTTAGTTCGGTTTTTAAAAGTGTAATTATACCCTACGTCCTTTATGGTACAGCGTATATTAAGTTAGTGCGGACATGTATATTGTAGTGTGATCGCACACTATCGTATGCATCCACTTGAAGTGTGACAAAATAATGCCACTTCAGCATAACCCTTTTGATAAAATAAAATGTCACACTTCACTTCGCATCTCTTTACATTGTGATAGTGATAATTCTGTTTATATAAGAATAATCTAGTGTGTGATAAGGATAATTTAGTACAATTACAATCCTGTTTAGAATAAGATAAGAATAGTTTAGTGTAAAAATTTAGTATAAATAGTGCCTAAGAAAATAAAGAAAATCAGTTCTCATAAAGCAACTCAACCAAGCGTTTTACTCGCTAAGAACACAAGGCGTTCAATCCGCCTGAACCATTAAGATTAGTGACCGTCTTATGCCGAGATGCTTTGGCATTATAAAAGACGGATAGACTTGGCGTACTGCAGCCGAGCTTAAACAGATAATCAATAAACACTTCATCAAACTTTATTACAATATAATATTCAGAAGGGTTTAAAATAGGTCCACGTTTTATTATACCGTTCGATTGAGAATCATTTTCCAAGTCGATCTAAGTCTGTCTGTCCGTCTGACGCATTTCCATCTATTTTTGCGTGTAAGTAGCAATTTTTGAGATATTTTGGTGAAATTTGGTAAACAGAGGTACTTTGGCGCAAGGGCAAACGTCATTGAAAACGATCTCCATATAACGGTTTATTTTGAAAAGTTGCTATATGTGGGAAAATTGCAATAATCGCAATATTTTTGCAAAAGTGGCTAAGTGGTAGTATTTTCAAAATCCAAATTGGTAGGAAAATTTCGGAGTGGGTGGAGAAATTTTTTTGAACCTTTTCTCATTTAATCGTTTTTATGGAAATGGACGATTTATACGGGAAAAAGGTCGAATTTCCAATATTTTATAGTGAAAATTAGAACGTAATCATAAATTGATAAAGAAATCTACTTTACCTAATTTGGACCACGCAAAAAAACCTAATTGAAACCGCATGGGTTTACTTTTTGGACCCACTTCTTATAAGATGTTCCATGAATTTTAGGTCCTTGGGAAAAATGGTTAATTTTTAAGAGTTTATGGTGAAAACTATTTCATAGAAGCATTTCAGCAAAAAACTTAACGGTAGTGAATTTGGATCACATAGGGCTATGTTTTTTAAGACCCCTACATATATAGGTGCTATCACGAAATGAAAATTCTTATACGAGGAGAAAATCTAACCTCCCAACATGCGAGCTTATAAGACAATTAAAATAATGTGTTCTTTTTGGAGTATTATTACCAAAACAAGCGAATACCTTTGTAAGTAGTAGTCGGCATGGCCCGACTATAACGTTCTTACTTGTTTAGTTATTAAAATATATTTAGTGAATTGAAATGTGGGAACACGAAATAAATCCTTAAGCGGACTCTAAAAGGAAATTTTTTAATATAGTTTATTGTACTTTTTAGTTGTTTTTTTATGTGTGGAACCAATCGGCTATTTTTCTATTAAATGAATATCTTTTTTACACGAATTTTTTGGAAACGCACTTATCGCGTAAGAAAATAATTAGCTGTATGCTAAAAGCAGAGGCATGCTTTGCAAACAATTCTGAAATCATTTATAATCACCACAAAGATGAGGTTTAACCCATTTGGTCATAATGTTTGTAGCACGCAGTCCGCCGTGCTGTAAAAATTCTTCCCTTGACTGAGAACAAAAATATCGCCTTTATATATGCAAAAGCTCGATCACAGGGAATTTGATGGCCCACACTTGACCAGAACACTATGTCAGTACATTAGTATGACCTGTATTAGAATATGTCTCGTTCATATAGTCGCCCACGTCTCGTTGCCGTGGGAATACCTTACAATCTTTGCAGAAACAACTTCTGCTTTATGCTCTAAGGACTACTTGATTTACGAGTTGATTTACGGCGCCTTCAACTCGCCGGTTTTGTTAAGTGCGATCAATTTTAATGTTCCTATTCGTCCGACGGGAGATGTTCTTTTTATACAGCTGAGCTAATGCATCTTAAATTATGAACTTTTTAAACCACTAAAGGTGGTCTGTTTGTAATAATTTAAACAAGGTTTATAACATAATTTCCGTCTCGGATCCGATTGCTTCCATTAACACATTTTTTCTTAATATCCTGTACTGCCAATGTTGTACTTAAACTAAATAAAAAAAATTCTATTAATAAGCTGCTTACACGATCAGATAAATTGTTTTCCGTTAATTCATGTGGAACCCAAACACTTCGCTTTAGCACAAACTCAAGAGATTTAATGTGATCTCCAACAGTTGTATGATGAATGCCTATCTCTTCTGCAATTTCTCGACATTTTGAATGTGGATTGTTTTCCAACATGGATCGCAAAACATAATTATCGATCTTAGATGATCGTCCAGATCGATCACTTCCTTGGAGGCTCAGATCCCCGGAACGAAATTTGCTAATCCATCTTTGACAAGTGCGAACATTTACAATATCTTTTCCAAATACCGTACATCAATTTTTACATGCAAACGATGCGTTGTTATTTTTTTGGAATTCATACAAAATGCAATGTCGTAAATGCACTTTATCTACTCTATCGCAAGTAAATGATGAACTGTAAAAAAAGACTCCTTTTTTTTTACAACAGGTAAAAAAAAAACAAAAAACCGAATGACTCGATAGCCACATGTTTTTTTTATTTACAAGAAGACTTACCTGCCTATTTAAAATACGACAGTACGTTCCCTCCAACCTAATAGAATTCGTAGATAGACTTATGACTTAGCTGAACTTGACGAATAATGATGTTCACGTTGTCTATCTCTTATGTGAATTGTCGTAGTTTTAAGATTTTTTCTTATTTGTTTCTAGAGATAATAAAACAGTTTTTCTCTAATCTTGTGATAGCAGGAAGGGCCCATTAATACTTTTACAATATTTTATCTAGTCATACTGCATTTCCTGCAACTCCTAACCAAACTCTCGGAACTGCTGACAAGTCAATGTTGACGTATCTGCCTAGCGTTGTCCAGATGGAACATAACGCCTCTCCTGTTGGCCAATTCCATGCGTTTATGGTTAATCACTGGGTTCAAACGGTTCAGTTGTTAACAGTAGGGATTTGAATTTAGTGTTTGATCATATGATTTCAAAAAATTTCTTTTGAGTTCCACCAAGTACACATCAGAACCTTTCTGGCAGTTAGTCGTCGTTTGACCAACGTTTGAGCTACCTCACCACGCTTTCACTACCAACGTTTTCGCATAATGTTGTCGTATATGACCCATTTGCCATCCCCAGCCACCATCCGTTAAAGAAGTGGGTCGATTTCATTCCGTTTAATCAAGGCTTTTCAGATGAAAATTGGGTCTATCATGTTTTTTTTTTTGTTAATTGGCCAAAATTGAATGTAATGAGCTTTCTGACGAGCATAAATCTGCAATTGTTTAAACAATACTTTTCGGGATATAGATTCCAATAGCCACTTAAAGAAAAACTAATAGATTTATTTTTCGCCAACCTAATATATAGCTACAAACGTAAAAACCGAAAGTATTATTTTTGTTCCTGCCGACGATATCTAAAGACCCCAGTCTCCTTAAAATAAATAAATACTTAAAAGTATAAAGCTTTGAAACTCGCTGCGATGGCAATCATAACCGAGCATAACCGGTGCGCATAGTGGAAATTAGCTATTACAGCTTTTCCTCGAAACTTCCTTAGCGACCCTTTGTTAAAGACGTTATTATAAGGCAAGCCTACTATTAGACGATCGACGGGCTTAAATACAGACAACAGAAGCCAAAATATATTGTCGGAAAATTACTTTATATTCACGAAAATATTCGCTAAATCTTTTGTCTCTGTCTCTCTTTTTCTAATATAGAATCGTTTCTAGGTTAACGCCGAAGAACGCTTCTTGGGTTTATTGGTTTGAGCCCATTTTTCCAAGTTACGTGTGCGTAGCTTTTCAAAACCAGCAAAGCCAGGTTTACATCATTGCATTGTTGTATTTGCCGGATCATTCACTTGCTTCTTCCTCGGCGAGTGTTAACTTGAGTTCGTTCTTCCCGGCTCAAAACTATTTCGGTTTCTGAGTTCGTCTGCCATGAAAGCTAAAAAGTGGTTTATAAAATATCGTCAGACCGTTTTTCCCATCGCCTGCATTTGGCTTTCGCGCCTTTCCGCTCGGCCTTGGTGGTTTGGATGCATTTTTTTTGATTAATCAAAGAGTAGCTTCATCGCGGTTATATTCGAATTTCTTTTTCTTCTTAAATGAATTCAAGTGCTGCCAAATTCATTTACTAAAGTGGGAAGTGCTTTCATTTACGCTGCGAATATTTTTTCATTTTCTGAACATTTCCTAAACATCTGATGTTTGTAAACAATAAGAAGTGGATAATGTTGAATTTTCAATAAATATATTTATTATATTTAAATTAAGGGATTTACATATTTAAATATTAAAACAATGAAGTATTCAGTCATTCAATCTTCAGCTGAGGGATGCCGAAATCAAACTCATATCCCACCACCTGTAAGTTATTCGAAATCGTGCCTTTCGGCCACAACAAAAACTTATAAATACTTAAGGCGCTTATTATTGTTTAATCAAATGGATTTTGAGTTTGCCTTGTGGCAAATGGTTTACCTTTTCATTGCGCCGCAAAAGCTTTACAGAAATTTTAATTATAGAAAACGTGAGTTTTTGAAGATTTATTTGTAAAATTTTGCTATACAATTAAGCAACTATTTCTTATTGTAGAAACGAAATCACAATTTGCTCGGGATGACCCCGCATTTCTTGTGTTACTAATTGTATGTCTTTGCGGTATGTATACAAACAATTCGTCGTCGATTAGTTGGCTGAATTTAATAAATGCAATTTTTGATTTTTAATTGTAGTAACTTCTCTGGGCTTTGGCTGGGTTTTGGGATTAAACTTATGGCAGAGTATTTCATTTGTATTCTACGTTGTATTTGTTGATTGCATATTTGCCGGATTAGTTGTGGCCACATTCCTGTGGTTAGTGACAAATCGATACCTACGCAGTAGTAACTTGGAACCGGATATTGAATGGGCGTATGCATTTGATGTGCATCTCAATGCGTTTTTCCCGCCTTTAATATTATTACATTTTATACAATTATTCTTTTATAATTGGCTAATAAGTCAGACTTGGTTAATATCACGCTTTTTGGGCAATACTTTTTGGTTACTTGCGTTAGGTTATTATGTTTACATTACTTTTCTGGGCTATAACTGCATTCCACATTTAAGGAACACCCGCCTTCTTTTAATGCCTTTGCCTATCATATTTTTGTTATATTTGCTTACTTTAATTATTGGCTGGAATGTGACGGTTTCATTTATGGATTTTTATAAATATCGTGTTTATTAAAGATTCAGATAAGATTTTCAAATTGCTTTTTAACAGAATTTGTGTTAACTTAAAAATTTTTTGCAATACATAAAAAAAAAAACTTAAGACGAAATAAAATTTTTAAGCCAATTTAGTTGGATTAACAAATGATCTTTTGCGCTTATTCTTTTGACGTTCCAAATCCGTTTGATGTATGTGAGAGTAGACTTCTGAATAGATCTCCTTTTGATGCTCTTCTGGTATAGTTGAGCGATATTGCTTCATTAAATCATATTTCTCCCATGGCTTCTCATGGTCTTTGGCGGTACGTCTACGTTTATCCGTTAGATATTCATCAATATTTGAGATGCCACGCAAATTTTGTCTTTCCCATTTTTCCAACCAAGGTCGCGGACGCAAACGAACTTTTATATCGTTTACGGGAACTGCGGCACCTTCGTCTCTAATTTCTGGTTCCATATTAGTATCGAAAGTGCTATACTCCGGTAACGCATCACGTAAATAGAATAAACGATCGTCAAGACGTTTTTCAAGCCGCAAAACTTCAATTTTTTGTATGGTGGGATCATACATATCGTATGAAATTTCAAGCCCTTGCTTATCAATCACATTACGCAAAATGAAACGGGCTCTTAAGCCGCATTTTTCACGCAAAATACAAATTCCTTTAATGGTTATATTATGAAAGTTCTGCTATCTTAATTACTGGATAAAGCTTACCTAAAAATCGACTAACTTTGCCCGCTGAATGAGGATCGGAACTTGTAACTGCTACTACTGACCCGACATAGAATTCCGGTATTTCGATTTGCGTCCGTCGATCGAGCATATCGAGCCGCTCCAACTTTTCACGTATCGGATTACGCCATTCAATTTTGGGATCCGGTAAAAATTCTGGATAAATAAAACGGCAATTAGCAGGTATAACAGGCTTGCGTGTTTCGGTTTGCGACGATGAAGGCGCTTTTGGAGCACTTAATGAACCGGTTTTCTTTGTTTGTGGCAAAACTTTCGTTGAAAAGAAAGCTATAAAGAAATTACATAAATACGTTGCACCTAGTAATCGGCACATGTATACTACCAACTGGTTGGAAAAGTTTATTGTGCTTAAAACACAAAGAACTCATTACTTTTCTTTGATTCAGCATTGCCTTAACAATTTTATGTCACTTCTTTATTAGTAAATCAAATTTTTTTGGTTATAAGTCAGCTGAGTTGATGCAGCAGATGATTGAACGATTGTCAAGACTTATTTTCTACAATACAGAGATGTAACATTTCGTATGTTAGGGGATGTTAGTAAATACATCGTTTCGTAACATTGACAAAAATACGTTAAAAAGATTCTCTTTAGTATAATAGGTTACTCCTGTAAATATTATTTGTTGTCAATAAATGAAAAAGATTTGTATTGGGATGTATAAGGTGCTTGCATATATATTTGGGCCATTTTTTCGCTTGAAAAAGGCATTTATTCAGAAAACTTGGCACAACATAATCAAAATGTTTTCAATGCGGAAAGAACAATAATAGTTTGGCAACGACTCAATCACCGGTCCATTTTTACGCCTACTCAGCATTTCGAAACCACGTGCCAGTCAAGCCACGTTGCATCGACCACGTTGTTTCGTCTGATCGATCTAATCGATTCCAATTGACACATGGATAATCCTTTCATTTTTGTTTATTATTATATTTAGGTATATAAACTTTTCTTATCGATATTGAAATGCTTATAAACAAGCAGGTATATCAGATAGTTTTGGTAAAAGAGAGTTGCTTTTCAATAAACATGCCTCGATTACATTACACGCTAAGGAAAAGATTTGCAAGCAATTGCCTTAATTTGTTATATATTGCGTAGGCGGCATTTATTTTATTTTCCTAAAAATATTGTTTCGCTTAATCGATCTGCTCATTATACGGCATATGCATTCTATTTTATATGTTTTGATGTATGTATGAGTATGTATGGGTATGTAAACTTTCTTAATCGATTTTGAAATTCTCGCAAATAAATAAATATGCTAATCGAATGTGCCTAACGCCTGCATAAAAAGATTGATTGACTTGACCGAAAATTGTAATATATAGACGCCACATAATCAACATAGACTTTGTAATACGCACATATGTTACAGAAAGTGGAAAGCAATTTATTTATTCAAATTTCATGCAAAAAAAAAAGGAATTAGAAATATGAAATATTACGTAACTCATAAAGAGAGGAACACTAAGTCTTTATTACATTTTTCATAGGCCAATCTCTACTAAGTGATATAACCACGCTTAAGATACCTTATAAGTCCTTAGTAATGTAATGTAATTTATGAGGAAAGATAGTCTTCATATTCGTATGCATATAATTGATAATGCAAACAATAAAGAATAATCTGTAAAAATGTTATCTGATAACAATTTGATAGGTGATAATTACTACTATTAATAGAGTGAACGATTCCCAATCCACACTTAAAAGATTTATTGTACTCAATGATTACTCTTGTATAATTGTATCATTGTTAATTAATAAATCAAGCTAAGCTTAACTTAATTAAAAAAAACCATGAACCAATTGAAAGCAAAGTTCATCTATATAGTTTTTCAAATTTCGTTATAAATAACGATCAGGTCACACCTTCTTAAAGTTAACAATAAGAAATATGAGCTTAGATTTGTTTAGGAAAGAAATACGATCTTTGAGACTGCCAGCTGCTATTTAATACGATTCGAAGAACTTGGGGCCTTGTGTTTGGAATTACATATACCTCTTGATTTACGCGAATGTGTTCCTCGAGAAATCGTGTAAATGACAGCCCCAAGAAGTTCCGCAGAAGCCCCAAAAAGTAGCAAGACATGCTCATGCTTAAATTGTGATTAATTCGAGAATATCTATAATAAGAAAAAAAAAATCATAATGCATTTAAGAAATTTTGAACGCCACAAAGTGAGAAAAACCACAATTCTTCTGCTAATTGTAGAAAATTTTTGATGAATTTCCATCCTTTCATAAAGAAACTACAAAGAAAAAATGTCGATTAAGTTCTAAACAATAGAAGGACGAGTAAGCGGAGATAACTAATTACTTTGTTCACATTTGATGATTAAAATGAATAATCGCTATATTCCAAAGGTAAGTTTGCATTTATCTTTCCTCATTGTCATTTACATTAATTATTGTTATGATTATAAATTTAACGAGAGAATAAATTATAAGACTAGAGTCTTAAAGCATTAGCATTTAAGGCTTTCGGCTTTATTAAAAACTCTACCGCACTTGAGATTTGAACCCCACGACCATTGAGTTGCTAATTGAGACTATTGCCTATTCTCACCACTGCCACTCGGGCCGATAAGTCATTGATAAGATATTTAATTGTTTCTATATTTCAAAGTCGTATTCAAAATCAAACACAAATTTCTATTTTAGATTGGAATAAAAAATCGATTGTACTAGAGTTCTTTTTGAACGGAAAATTGCCGAATGTAAAGTTATGTCATGCTGTACCCATATTGGCAGTTTACTTGAACCCACGGCTTACGTGCAATTTGTTCCTGTGGACAATATAGAACTCCTAAGCAATGAGCAGCCTGGAATCTTTTCGATTCCGTAGCTCAAGCTTGGGGAACAAAACTAAAGCAGAAGCAACAATTGCAGCCGGTTATAAAATTTATATGATGTGGAAAGTTTCGAGCGTGGCATGACTTTTGTCATGAACTCTACAAATGTCCTCATGCCAGGCGGTTATTTGGTACGTTCAGTGTTGGCTCTCAAACTAATTGATACTGTTTACGTTTTATGTATACGCATAGCTCCGTTATGACGCGCGAGCACGTGTTTCAGCGTGCTGCAGCCGTTTTTTCAAATTTGCGATAAAGCAGACGGACGAGATGGCTCGCCTGAAGAACTGCATCATCATAGACGCAAAACAGAAGAGTTACGAGATGTCTTTTGCACTGCATTGCGCGAAACTTATTAAATTTTGAATTTATTATAACCTTGCACCATGAGTTTGAACAACCACATTACATATCTTGCGATACAAACTTTTCAGTGACTGGTGATGCGGTTGACTCGCCAATCGACAGAAGGGCCAAGTTAGGACAGTAGATGTCACTTGCTAATAGTTTTGGCACTTAAATAATTGGCAATCATTTAGAGGCAGCTAATGCGAAGTTCAAAGAGACACTCCAACATGTAGACTCATTGGAAGCATTGGACATAGTTACTTATAAGTTAGAATTACAGGGTCCGTCAGCAAGGGATAATTTAGTAAGAGTAAAGTAAGATCCGGGCATTCAAGACGACGACAGTTCATCTGTTTTGGCTAAAGTTCATCTGTTTTGGTTAACTATATAGATCCTAATATATGCTGGGATATTAGTGACGACGAAGAAAGTAACAATGAAAATTGCGAATATGGTTGAAACGTCTTTTTTCACAAAGTTTCTCTCAAGTACTTGAATTAAGTGAACGAATATTAGACGGACAAGTAGATACAGATCAAGAAGAACACCAATTCAGAATAAATATCGGGCATGACTATGATGAAAATGCAGAAGGAAACATTTGCTTATGTTTGAAGAAACCGTAAAAGAGGCGGTAAGTATTAAGAATGGTTTAGTAATTAGGATCAATATTGTGAAATAACTTCTAATTATCTTCACAGCTAATGTTAGTACAATAAATCGAGAATATACCTGTAAAAGTGATTGCATGGAAATTGTTAGAGGTAGATGTGATTACCGGTAGATTGTACGAAATTAGCTCAATGATGCGTGTAGAAACTCGTTTTCGTCCGATATGTTTTCGTCTAATACGTTTCGGCAATTCCATATGTCCTGCATTTTTGAAACACGTGGTATTACGCGATCAGATGAAAATGTTATTGAAATGGAAATGCAATGGAGAAGATTTGTATAAACAAGTATTACAACTTGAAGCGGAAATTGGCAATTGAAGAGGATAGATTAAAAGAAAAAATACGCCAACTCGAGTAGACGTCGATCCATGCATTATAAGTTTTTATAAAAATTCAATGCAAAGCCCTACGATGTTTACTCAAAATTCTAGTCTTGTAGTTAGTCAAAAGAACCGTCATCCTTCTATGATCCTTTTGTTAGCACTACCGATAACGAATGACTTGGTAACCATAAATCCATGGCCTCGCCGCCTATTAGAGAAATGTTTTTAGCAGGCTGTGAACATGAGTTTCAGCAACCGTTCTATGGTAATCCCGATGATATAACAAAACATAAAGACGACAGCGGTCGGGTTATACTGTTTTACATATTCCCGGCGATAAATGATCTTAAAGAATTTCAAAGTGTTTTGGAAACTGATATCATGGGTATAACAGCGTGAAGACGTAATAAATTGTATGAAATCGGAGGTTTGGAAATGTTGAATAAATATCGTACTTCACTTCACATCCGAGAGTATTACGCGCACCTCAACTGAAAGCACCTACTAAACATGAAGAGAAGTTATGACTGAAGGCGAGAGAGTTGTTGAAAGGCAAAGAAGATATCGCGAGCGTTAAAGTGGCTGACATAGACAGTCCAATTAACATACGACGTCAAAAAATTACAATAATGTTTAAAGCTGATTAAGGAAATGAGGTAGACAGCGATAAGTGAAATCAACCACCGTCCTGTCGAGCATTTAACCAGTGGAATATGGTTGATAATACGTTGGGAGCAGCTCCAAGTGGATCCATTGTTAAGATACCTAATATGCTAAAGGCATTGTGGACGAAAATATATACCCAGTGGAGTATGCAGTAGACTCGAGTATTAAAATATTCCGATCACTGGCCAGATATTGGTTCAGAATTTTGCACAATAGTAATTGAAGTCTTCGAGGAAATAGAGTTTATGCATTCGTAATTAATTAAAATGGTCACAGAATATTATCCCGTATGGTTTCCAAACCTATTTTAGGGATGGAAGGCGTCAACATCAAAAAAATATTAACAAACTAAGAGAATTGGTTAATGCTTCGCAGGACTTATTTGTGTAAAAGGAAGTGTACAATTTGGATTTCACTTTGCTCAAATATTTGCAAGTAAGTCTCGTGGTTTGTTAAATTAAATAGAATAATTAATTTTTCATTTACCCTAAACGAAGTGTGGCGGGCACTGATTCTGACATGGCGCCTGCGGCATCTACAAGGGATAATATTTTCTGTGCCAAGAATTTTTTACTTTTTGTTTATGCGTAAAA